TTGATCCAAAAAATGCAACTATTAACTAACTGCCTGACCATCAGTCCAAATCCAAAGCTTCTCAAAAGAGTAAAGTACTCACAGTGGCAAAGGTGGAAATGAGAAAACATTACATCTATCACCTATGTAGGTAAATTGCAGAGTTCAGTCATTTAGTTCATTTATTTAGAAACATGTGAACACTGGTGGCACCTGATAATGACATTAAGCTACCTGGAAATTGAAGCCTCTTTCAAGAGATTCAGGTTTTGGCTCTTGTGCTAAAATGTCAAACTCTGCAGGGTCACGGTTTGCCAAGACCCTGGCCAATCAACAAGCTACTGTACATGTGAGTCCTTGTGACTTTTGTTTACATGGTTTGATTGCAAATGGGCACTGGGAGCCTAAAATAATCAAATAAACTCAAATAAGTCAACTTTTCCACTCTGGCTTGGACCAAAAGAGGATGCATTAATGTCACACTGGAGGTTATGTAAATCCAAGCTGTAAACTGGGGAAAAAACATTCAGATATACCTTGTAGTGGTGGATGCAAGTAGGAAATGTGGATATATTTTATAGCTTCTCTCAAAACTATATTTCATTTGGCATAGCAAGTTGTAAGGCGAATGTAGGCGAATCTTGCTTGTTTTCATGAGCAGATCACTGAGAAGCAATGAGGAAACAAGCTTTTTTCTTACTTCTAATGATTGCATGTAAACACAACCATAAGAAGATTTTATCTCAGTTTGAACTTGAAAACCACAGAGTTTATATACAAAGAATTCCCCACTCATGTACTAGCACTGCACATTCAGTGTGTGGCCAACTGGGCTTCAGGGGGAACATGGGGCTATCTAGACCGTCTACTTCCTCTCAAATGTCCCACCCCCTGCTTGCCATGGAGCGTCAGTCGGATTTCTCAGAGCCTGCAGAGGATGGGTTGTGATATTGTGGTTGACGTGTATAATAAAACGACTGACAGCTCACAAATCAGTGTCAGTCGTGCTCCTCTGACTGACATTTCCAGGTTCACAAAACGCTCTCTTACGGCAGAGGACATTTTTGTGTTTCTGTGATCTGACACTACATTTCTTGACACAGTAAAACTAAATTAAGATCCATCAGTAATGCTGAATCTATAAAATCTATCATAAAGAGTCATATTTGGGATATATTTGTTAAAAAGCCAACATAATATCCTCTCATCTCTGCTCTCTTTGCTGATAAAAAAAACAAGTCAAAACATTAATGTCTCTTTCCTGTATAATTTGCTAAAGTATCTGAAATCTTTCCACTACTGTTTCAGTTGATATTGGTCACCAGCACTGCAGTTATTTATAATCTGTGGCTCAGAGCCTAGAGCTCCAAAAAAGCGTCTTACAAAGGCTGCCACAATAGATGTTCTGCCTGGTACTGGAGGATTGCTCAACTAACACTTGTATTCCAGAGAGGAAATGTGGAAAATTCTAGTTTGAAATGGAAAATAATTGTTTGATAACCAGCTGGTTCAGCGATACGGCTGGAAATAGACTCACTATTCTTGGTTTTATGGTGTTATGTTCAGAAAATAAAGCAGTGCAAATGCAAAATAGCTTCAGGGTAAAAGCATTAAGGAGGGGTTTTTCGTTTGCACCACCCAAGCTGAACTGATTTAGCTTCAAATCACACTGTTGCTGCAGTTTTAGTAGCATTTGTTTGTCAAAGGTGAAAGCCACTGTGACCTCACAAAATGCGTTTTTGGCCATAACTTAAGAATTGATGTGGTAATTATGACAAACGTCACAGCTTAAACAGTAGTTTAATGGTGTTCATTAATGAAGTGATGACATATTTTACCCAAACAGTCAAAGATCAACTTGACCAATGAAATGATCCCTGCCTTACATTCGCTTTACTTTTAAGATTTTGTCCTCTTTCTGCTTCTTTTTCAGCCATGGAATATGTATGTATGTAAGTAGTCTGGGTTATAGTGTGTAATTGGTTTTGTAAAATAGGTTTTGGGAATTATGAACACTGAAATCAGGGGGTAAATAGGCCTAAACTAAACTAAACTTCTTAAAGCATCCCTTATGGGTGGCTACTCTTTAATAGGGTTCATCCACTCCCGCCCTCAAATGCTTGATCATGTGTACTGCGCTTGCTACCCTGACTTTTGGAATAAAATGGACAGACAGTTAATATCTTTACCAACACCCAAACTTAAAAAAAACAAACTTTAATAGCTATACCGGCCTCCCGTTGGTGTGCTAGAAGGGAAAACACCTTCATTAGCAGTGACTCTATGGCCATGAGAAGGAGTCTAGCGGATCATTAAAGAGTAACCAGTCTAAGAGGTAAAGTGAACGCGTCTGCAACGAGAAGGGCTGAAGCTGGAGCTCAGGAAATCTGTGCAAGCAAAAATATATCTATAGTGCAAACACACAGTTTGAGCAGAAGCAGAGCTAATCTAAACTCAAGCAGGGCGTATATGAGTGCAGTGGTAAGGTTTTGAGGGAAAGCTTTACAAAATTTGAACGTGAAAACAATGAGTCAGGCTCTTAAATTGAAAGGCCACACTCTTGAATAAAGAATTTAATCCCACACACCTACATACCTACTTCTATAGAGAGGCTTTGCATCTAAAAACGCCAGATTAAAACAAGAGCATGACATTTTGTAAAGCTATACTCTAAAATCCTTCATTAATCAGTTCCACCACGTACATTCACTGTAATCATTAATCCTGTATATATCATCAATATAGTGATAACATATTGAAAGTGTATGGCTATTTAGCCAAATAATACACTTTCATTCAATCCTTCCAAGTATTCACTGCAGAGTCTTGACAGACAAGGATATAAACTGCAACCTGACTAGTTGGTGGAGCATAACACCACAGGGCAGTAGTTGAACTTTAATTCCTGGCATTGTAATGTTTTATGGAAATCCATTGATTTCTGTCAACATTATTGTGCTTTGACCAAACATGTGAAATGTCATGCCACGAAAGCATGCTGAAATCTTATTGGAATGGAAAAGCAGCTCTGACATTATCTGTTGTCTTGCAAATGAGCATTATTTAATGTAAACATGCACAAGAGATCCTATTCCTCATCCAAGTTCTTTAATTTCCTTGTTGCGGTTCAGATATGCTCATTCTGATTTGCTATTCAGTGATACGACCGGATTTTCTCACATGAAACACCACAAAGGGTTAAACAAAAACCTGATCTTTCCAGCTTGTTGTAAATCCAACATGACGTGAACCGGCTGCCCTGTTGAGTGTTTCTGGCTCGATCGTGCCACCTGGTGGTGAATCAGTGTCATTGCGACTGCTTTTGGAAACAGCTGAATAAAGATGCCGTTTGCTTTGTTTGATTTAGGTGAGAATATGAAGAGTTACACTTGTCATTAAATGTACAAGAAACAACTCCATGCTCCCATCATAAATTTATATTATTTATTTATATTTTTTGAAGACTGCCCCCTCACAGCTGCCATTGGTAGAGAAAAACAAACAGAAAATTACACCATAACAATACTGCCATCATTTTTTTGTTCAGCATGGTAATGTTCAAATTAGATGTGATCAAATCTTTATTGGACTGCCTTGTCATCATCTGTGACATGTGAGCATCCTCAGTGATGGCAGATGGGCTCTAATCTGCAGATAAAACTATGGTGTATGATCATGGTTGGACAGCTAAAATAGTAATTAATCCAGTCATGCTTTGTTTACTGCATTGAATAGACTGTCAAACAGATTACACTTCACCGGAAAGGTATAGACAATTGACCAGCAATTAACCTAACCCCAACCCTCCCTCTCTCTTGTGATTTCTGTGTGAATAATCGGCTGACCAAGGAGATCGTTTCAAGTTTAAACCAGATTCACTCGTCATAAATGCCAAGACTCCCAGTTCCAGTGTCTGTAGCTGTGTTTGACCTCTAACTTATCTCCTGCCTTTTGGTAATCAGTAGCAGCTTTGCAGTTGTGTCTTTAGCACATCTGTCACTGTGGTTACTGTGAGCACAAATATAACTTAAAGCCCCTTTATGTAGGCTTTGAAAATGTTTGAGTTTGGCAGCCACTAGTGGTCATATCTAAAAAGCCACATGCAAACATCACCTTCTGCAGTAAAAGTTCTGCATTGAACATGTAACTTAAATAAAATAATGTAAATATAATCAGGAACATGTACTTAATGCAGTTAAATGTCCCCTGTGACTGTAATTATTGTGCATTCATGTAAAAGCAGGATTTTCAAGTTATCAAATAAATGTAGTGAAGTAAAAAGTACATAATTTCCCTATGATATGTGGTGGAGTAGAAGTAGAAAGAAAAGCATGAGAAGAAAATTCTCAAGTAAAGTAAATTAGTTATTAAGTACTTTAGTAAATGTACTTACTTACATTCCACCACTGGATGAATGTGGTCATTTTCACTGGGATTGTTTCCTTTTTCTACAAACACAAACAAATCTCATCACCAAATTTTTAAAACATGTTAGTAGGACGTAACACATAAGCCTGTAATAGCAAAAGAAAACAGATTAAGATGAATAAGATGTGGCTGCAGATCAAAGTACTGTAATAAGGCTGATTTGTTTCCAAATTCAAGTCACTGTGACGCATGAAAAATGAGAGTCAGGCAGCTGGTTATCAGAACAGCATCAGGTTAAAGCTGATTGTTCTTTCTGCCCCAACTGCTGAACTCTGCACGGTCTGGGATTTCATTTAACAAGTACTCAATATTAATCTTAATATGCTGTCTTCTACTGGATATCAGCTTGTGTTCATACAAAATCTGGTGTTAAAGCATTGGCATTGGTGATTCCCCACATAAGAGACTTTATAATGTTTGTAGTTCTCGTTTGAAGTGAATGTTTGAGCAGAGGAAGTTTCTGCTTGGGTACAACAAAGCAGTGATGGTATTGTAGTAAACCAACAAGCTAAATGTTGTAAACACAAAATCAGATGAGATTAATTAGAGAAACTGTTTGGCATAACAATCTCTCTCTCCTCCCTCCCTTCCAGGCGGTCAGGCAGTGCCTCAGGACCCGTCACCCACTTCCACTTGCCCTCCGGGACCCCCTGGACCTCCGGCGGTTGCCAATGGTGGTAGTGACATCATGGTGAACTTTGACCCCGACCCAGCGGACCTGGCACTGTCCAGCGTCCCGGGCCAGGAGGCATTTGACCCGCGGCGGCACCGGTTCTCCGACGAGGAGCTGAAACCCCAACCGATGATCAAGAAGGCCCGCAAGATGCTGGTCCCCAATGAGCAGAAGGTACTACATCTCCCACAATTCTTTGCTGTCCTCTTGACCAGTGTCTGCTCATTGGCCATTTGGTAATTAAGTAGGTTAGTGTTTCTGTGGTTTTACAGGTTTTATGGTCTGTATAAGTCAGGAAGGTTAAAAATCATAATAAAAATCTATTTTTACAAAATGAAAAAGATCTTTTTGATGGCCAATGAGGAGATTTATGGCTTTTTAGTTTACACCATTAAATTTGTGAATGTTTCTTTGAACTTGAAAGGATTTTGTTAAGTTTGCATATTTAAACTCAATACTTTATAGCACTTTAACTTGCAGTTTTTAAGGACTTTTTGTCTCAAAACTGCAAAAATATTCTTATTATCAAGTATGTTTTGTATGTAATTTGAGTCATAAACTCATATTTTCTTAAAATAAGAGAAAAAAATGTGTCAGTAAAGCAAGAATATTTCAGCTGGTTTCTATTAAAAAATATATTTATAAAATCTAATTTCATTTTTCATGATTCTAGTGGAGCAACCTGCCTTATTCTTTCTTGTTTAAAGATAACATCTTGAAATTAGTGGATTTCTGTTATTCTGAAATAATCTTACTGCACTGTCAGAAAATAAGGTTTTTGGAACTCGGTTCTTAACAGAAATTCATTAAGAGGATGTCTTTTTCTCTAATAAATGCACAAAAACAACATTGTCACAGCTAAAGTAAGATAAATGTCACACCTCACGTGATCATCACTGAAAAATTGGAAATTAAAATCAGATAAAATTAAAACCAGGCATTTAAAATTTGATTAGTGATAAAATCCAGTGAGTGACACTTGAATGTTTTTAAGGTTTCTAGAGATAAAAAACTGCAGAAAGTCTCCAAGGAGCTCAGTATCCAGTTCAGGCAGAAGCCACAGCAGCATTGTTAAGTTAAAAACCCTGAGCGTCATCATGAAGGCCACTGCTCTTTGACAGCCACTGTATTGATGTGGGAATAAAAATGAAGGTGCATGATGCCCACTAGTATTGATGCCTCCTTATGAGAGTCCTAAATATTTTGCACTCAGCTCATTGCACAATAGGAGAAGCTCTGATCAATGACTCATGCTTTCATAGTTCACTTCAGAGCAGCTGCAGCTCCTGAGGCATTTGTAATTTATGGAGAGATGAAGGCGCTCACCTTGCTGCTTTCAGTTGCAGCGGGTTTTATAAATCATCTGTGCGCAGCTTTGGAAAAATGATCTCTGACCAAAGTTAAAGATTAAGCTTGGATTGCTCTGCAGCTCCTCATAAAGGAGATTTAATGTCCAGCTATAATCTTAAAGCACTGATAATGCCAGAACCTTTTTAAAAATAGGAAAAATATTATAGTGATTGAGTTGAATTGTAGAATGATGTCCACTTTGCCAGATGTAAACAGATCCCGTAAAATGTTCTCTGAAGAAACTATGAACCATTTGGGCCTGGAGCAAATCCAACCTCATAGAGATCTCTTCTGATAGAGATTCACAGTAGTTACAATAAATTCTGAGGTTGACTCATGTTTATGGTGATAAGAAAGTATCGAAATATCCAATTAAATGTCTCAAATTATCATTATATTATTATCCACTTCTCCTCTGCTTGAGATGTTGTAAATGCACACATAGTATATGTCCAAGGAAGGTTAAAATCAAGGGTCAACTGGACTTGTTGAAGGATACTTGAAGATGTTTCGCCTCTTATACAAAAGGGCTTCTTCAGGTCTAATTGAGCTTGTAAGTGCCACAGTGACATGATGGTAGCTATCAAGTTAAGAATTTATCCAGTAAAATTGTCATGGTTGTTGTGTCCTGTGGTTGCACTCATTCAGCTGTTGCCACCTTTCTTCCTTCCCTTGTTCCTTTCCTGCCATTATTGCTCTCTCATCGCATAACTGACCCTTCTCATTCCACTGTTTTTTCCTCTCTCTTTCCCCCACCTTCCCTCCTACACACCCCAACATACCACACCGGCGCCGATGACAGGATGAGAAGTACTGGAGCCGGCGCGTCAAGAACAACGAGGCGGCGAAACGCTCGCGGGACGCCCGCCGGCTGAAAGAGAACCAGATCTCTGTGCGTGCTGCCTTCCTGGAGCGGGAGAACGCCGCCCTGCGCCAGGAGGTGGCCGACATGAGGAAAGAGCTGGGCCGCTGCAGGAACATCATCAACAAGTACGAGAGCCGACATGGAGACTTGTGAGGTGGAGGAGAAAGAAGATGACGATGAAGGAGGAAGGGGCGGGAGGGGAGGAGGAAATGAGAAAAGGGTACAAGGCAACCCAACAACAGCAGCACTTTAGTTGAAGTGGCGAGGGGATAAGCCGACGTAGATCTGCAGTAAGCGCTGTGCGACACCGGGCGCAAACACAAAAAGTGTGTTTTAGTGCACGCGTTGTGCTTCAGGATGGCATGACAGGAAAGCACAGCAACGCCATTTTTTCCAGTTTGACTCTCTTTGTACATGCTGCTTCGTTGAATCCACACAACGTAGGCCTACTGTATCACCTTGTGTCACCTCGGCAGCTTACGTCACCCTCGGTGCTGTGCTTACGGCCGGTGTTGTACTGCGTTTCTGCAGGTAGTGCGTTCAGGCCGCTGCTCCGGCCAATTCAAACAGTGTGTTGAATTCACATTATGCCAGTGAAATCTCACTTTCTAAGCTCAAGGCATGGATACAAGCCAGGAGAGGTCAGATGTGTAATTTTTTTCTATAAATAGGACAAAAAACATGTATATTTTTGAACTGGGCAGGAAGGCAAGACTAGTCCAGCAAAGAGGAGAGGGAGGAGGAGGAAGAAGAGGTGCAGGGATTTCGTCCACAACGCAAAGAGATTTTGACATAGGATTATTGTATATTTTTCTATTAGCAGAGATAGTCAGGAGGAGGATTTTGGAGATAATCTTTTGTATATTTTATATATGGGGCGGGGAGGGGTTGTTAGCTGGACAGTCAATGGGGCCACAAGCAGCGCTTTTCCTCCCAGCTGTTGATCGCTAAACAACAAATAATCTATTTTCAATTTCACAGAGCTGGTTGGTCGGAGGCAGAGGCGTAACAGAGAATGTATCACGGTTGAATCAGGTATTTCACAAGGTGTGATGGAGAGAAGCGGTATCTTAGTAACGATTGTTTATGGCGCAGGTGGGGGGGGGGTGGAAGACGGTGAAACAAAAATTGTATAGTTTTAAGAAATGTTTGTGTTCGTTTTGTTTTCTTTGTAGGCTTGTTCAAGCACTTGATTTGTTATCTTCTATTTGATTCTGTGTCTGATTTAAAAAATAATCGCAGGGCTTTTATTGTTGATGGCGAAGGAGAAAAAGAGAGAGGAAAACAGGAGGTAATTAGCCATCAGAACAGCTGGATGTGAGCAGATGTTTGAAAATAAATGAGTTGGGAGAATTTCGCTGGCAGGTTTGCATTTAGTTTGGTGAACGCGTCTTGCTCGCTCACACTAGAACACATAGGCCTAATTTGTTAACAATAACACAACGTGGTTGCAGTCTTTGTCTCTCTATTTGCTCCTCGATTTGTCCAGGAAGTGCAAAAATGAAATACTAACTGGTTTAGGGTTGATTTGCCCAGATTGAACAGTGACTGAAACCTTCAGCATGCAGGCACACTACATGGACACACACAGTCCTCACCCAGGTTTTAACCCTTATTGTTGTTGTTGATGTTGTTATGGACTTCTATGGTGCTGATCGGATCTGATCCTTCACCTGACACACACACACACACACACACACACACACACACACACACACACACACAAATCATATGTGCACATATATGCAAACATACACTTCCACCATCTCAAACACCGTACTGAACTGCCTATACCCTTTCTTTGTCTTTTATTCCTTCTTTATAGTTTATTTTTTCTTTCTTTTGTTGCATATTGCATTGATAAATCATATATAGATTTACACACAAACACTTGTCTATACCTCTCCTTCAAACTTTACCCAATGAGAATCGAGAAATGCACCCTATTGCTACTGTACCATACAACTGTACTATTGAATATTAAACTATTCTCTCACTAGATATATATGTATATGATATATGCTTGAATTATGTGATTATAGTTGTAATATACATAATTGAATATATTACAGAGAAACCCATCTGAATCATTTTGTCAGTTTTTTCTCAGGTGTTTTTGTCTGAGGTATTAAATACACATATTAAAAAAACACACAAAAAAAAGTCTTTGATTTGAGAATTAGTGATTTTTTTTTGTTTTTTTTGGGGGGGGGGGTATTTTTCTTGTTGCAAGAGCTGTTGTGTTTTACTGTTATGATTCTGTTACACCATTTTATTCTCACTCGGGGGGAAAATGTTCTCTGACCAACTCACTGTTCGCTAAGCCCCGCCCCCCCTTAGTTAATGCTGCTATGCCCGTCAAGCTTTGCATTCTAGATACTTCAGTTTACCTCAACAACAGCGGTAAATTACCACTCATAATTATTTGCTCATCAATTGGTCCTTGATTTTTTACAGAAGTAGAAAAGCAGATTATTTATTTCTAGTCCAAAACCTCTATTTTACCTGTTGAAACAACAGCTGGCAGATTTTATTAGCTGTTTCTAGCTAACTAGCAACTCCATTGCTGTATCCAAAAACAATCCTTTGTTCACTCCTCCACTACTCTATACATAATAGACACTCAATGGTTTACTCAATTGTGAGCAGTAAACTGAGTGAATCATCGCCATTTTGCGTCATCACTGACAGCTGTCACACAAAGTTAATTTCTATAAAATGCGACACATTGAAAGTGTAGCCTGCCACACATTTTTTTCTGTTCCGTTGTGCAAATTTCTGAGGGCTGTAAAGAGCACGTTGTCATTAAATATAGTACACAGTATAGGTAATAGGACTTGCTTTTGAACTCAGTTGTAGAGAGCAGTGGCAGATTTACCACTTTAAATTCATTCAAAATTTAAATTTGTTCAAAATTAAGAGACTGGGTTTCTGGCTACTACTATGAAAACGAGCAAAAGGGTCTTAAATATGCATTTATTTTACATGACATTACATCATGTAAATGTAATGCTGTGTCATGAAGCAGAAGAGACACAGGCAAATTACTGGATGAATCCTGCTAGTGTTTCCAGTTGAGCTCCCCTGAAGACCTCTGTAAAAGGGATCACAAATATGCGCTGATGGCTACATAAAGGATATCATGCTAAAGTTCTGAGGCTCCATGTCCCAGGCAAAAAGTCAGCACGCTCTCCAGTTGATCCCTGTTGAAGCAAGTTGTTCAAGCAGTATTGTTCTTGTTTGCAACCCATGGGTTCGACTGTGTGATGTAAACTCTCAAATTCAATAACGACCAGGAGAGAGCTGCTAAAATTAGCATACATTCTGACTAGTTTTACAATGAATTCTATAGAGTGGAGGTCAATTTCAAATGGGGCAAGTGACCTGTAACCCCACACAGTAATGTAATTTGCTGATGACATGTTAACTCTTGGCCTTGGCAGTAAGAACACTTGATTTAGTTAGCCATGCATGCTAATGTTTGTAGCTTAGCGTTAGGGCAGACAGACACAGTTTCATCCATTTCTTACATTTTAGCTTTTGTGTTTTCAAGATAGAACCCCTGAAATACTTTAAATGCAGAGTATCGCTCTTACTTCAACCTTGTGCACACCTCTTCAGTATGCTGAAAAATCCAAAGCTTGACAGAGGGATGGTCTGCAACTTACAGTTTTTAAGATATGATTGGACAATCACTGTGGGGGAGGGGTTTAGTGAACGGTTAATTTAGTGCTGTCTTGTCTTTATTTACAGATGGCGACTGAAATCTTATTTAAAAAAGAAACTAAAGTTCTTGTTACCTGCTATACAGCCATCGTTGCTAGTATTATAATTACTGTTGTTGATGCTATAAAATTCTTTTCAGTTGTTTCATGCAACAGCTTGTTTTCTTCAGGGGAAGCTGTGATTTGATTCTCATGTAAATCCCCTTTTAATTCCCAAGAACAACTTTCACTTGATCCGCTGTTTGCTGTTGTCACCGTCCACAGAGACTTAAGTGAACTCCAGGTGTATTATGGGAGCCGTAGTTCTAACCTTGATAATATATACCCCCCCTTCTGGTCTTTTTCCTTTTTTGGGAATAGGTTTAAACCTATAGAGTCTATGGTTTAAACCTGATACACAGACACAAACGTCTGAATTTAAATCCCTGGAAGAAAAGTCTCAGAGCTTCTTATGCTTTTGTCTGTTGATGGAAGAAGAAAGCTACGTGTTTTTTTCTTTTTGATATCTGGGATTTTTGGATTTCTTCACAGACGTTTCAGAAACTTTTTCACAGTGCTATTTTTCTATGTAACTGTGTTGAGCGTGTTACAACTTTTTCCTGTGGGCGTTTGAGGCCCACTCTTCACGTGACGGCAGTGACAGTTTGCTGCTGTACGATGAAACAGCATTGCGGGTATTAATGACAACAATAATAATGATGATAACAATCATGTACACAGCCTTGTTATTTCTCCTTCAATTTTGTGGATTTTCAACTAACTTCTCCATATTGTGACTGTTATGAACTATAAGTCTCATGAGCTCGCCACTATCCCAACTCCTCACAAGTATTGTGTGATGTCCACAGGGATGATGGCATATGTGGTCTGGCTTTTTTCCCCTCCAATCACCAATAAAGGCTTATCCTTACTCACCAATAGAGCTTTTTCTGGTGTCCTGCTGTGTGATCTCAAAGTGTGTACAAACCAGGCGGCAAGCACCACACTGTTGAAGGTAATGTCAATATTATATAGCTGCAGTACCAGAAGCTGCAGTTTCAGGACCCCCACAATCCTGGGACCGCAGTTCTAGGACCGTAGATGTTTTTTGACAGCGCCATCTAGTAGATTGGAAGTGGTAATGCACAGCAAAACGAAGGAAGTTAACCCTGCCTGATAGCTCGGCCGATGTGCGCAGCTGTAGGGCTAACCGGTTGACTTGCATATGATAAAATCAATAACTTTTAGGCACACACCTTGTGATGGTTAGGATGAAGGTAATTGGCTTTAGGGGGCTGTCAAGAGTAACATAGCTAGCTAGCTAGCCAGCCAGCTAGCTGGCAATATCAAAATAAACAAGGATCCTATAAATGCAGTTCCGGTCCTAGGCTTGCGGTCCTGAAACTGCAGCCTCCGGTACTGCAGCTACATACTACTCGGTAATGTGGGAAGTGCCATCACCTGCAGTTATTTTAATGCCCATCAGAGGCTGGCTGTATAAACCCACCCATCAGTACACTAAGTTGCATACAAAAAGTACCAAAAACTCAAATAACTCAATAACTCAAATACAATTAAAAAATGTTAAACACTAGAAGTTAGATTTTCAATAGCTGATGTCATTTCTTCTAATGTGTGTTTTGATGGTTTAAAAATGTATTGCTCCATTAGGAAGATATTCCTTGATGAAAAGGCACATTAAAAGGTAAGACTGGTTCTTCTTGTCAATTAATCCCTTGAAAAGATAAAAATAACAATTAATTAATCCTTATCGCAAGTATTGGCTGTGTGTCTTATTACTCTGTGCCATAGAGCTCCATTGTTGTTCACAAGCTATTAAAAACACATCAGTCAGCCACACTGTTGCTCTCATTATTCATTATGAACACATACACTGTATTTTATTTTGGCTTAATCCCACATACACCATCCTGCTGCCACAAATATTCACTATAGCACCAAATATATATTACTACGCTGCTGAAAATAGTGTCCAACAAACGCACTATTTCATCCAGTTTGGGTAACTTTTGTTAACAACTACACTGTGCAGCTGTTGTAAAAATACTGAGCACTTTTAAAGATTTATGTCTTGGGCTTGGGCCTGAGAGGACAGATAGGGTGGGGACGTCAGAAAGAATTTTAGAGACAGCCTAACACGCTGTTAGTTTAGTTATTTTCATGAGATTTGTTGCCAATAGAAGAATATATAATAATGTAAGCCACGTCCTTTCGTCACAGCAGCTGAATATTATAATCAATCTATACTTCATTTTAATCTGCTGAACTTCTATGTGAAATATGGTGTCAAAAATTTTCTTTTTGACACCATTTTCTTTCTTTCTCCTTTTCTAAACTTTCATGTTCGGGGTTTAGAGAGGGAAATCACAAAGTAATGAAAGATTCTCCAGAAAACAGATGACATCACAGACACTACAACCAAGGTTTCAAACACTGCAGCATTTACCTTTCGATCTTGAGCATTGCTTACAATTCATACACCTCACTATAATAATTTATCTGATATTATTGTTGTTGTACACTTTCTGCCTGCATGTGTGAGACATCGAATAATAACATCAATCTTCTACACAGAAAGTGCAACAGCAGACCATTGGGAGGCACTCGGACCCTTCTGACAGCTTTTCTGTTCAGACATCAGATCAACAGGGACAGCGTGTGGGTGCGTTTGCATATCTCATTGTGTGTTGGTACTGTACAGTGTGTGTTGCAGCGTTTGTGTGTGTGCGTGTGTGTTTTATAACTGAACACGTGTGTCTGCATGTATGCATGTCCTAATGTTTGTGTTTCCATGACTACTGCTATGAATTGTAGCCCCCCTGGATAGATTAGACAGTGAAGCCCCTCAACATCTGTTATGTAACACACACCACCCAGTCTGTGAGCCCCTACTTGTGTGTGTGTGTGGGACTGGATCGCCTCACCACCTGTATCTGGTGGGTTGTTTCAGCTGTTCGGCAATGTTTGCGTCACCAGCTCCCCCTTGTCATGCCGCAGACCATCTGCCCAAGCTGGTGCCGATACTCCAAGCCAAAACGTGCTAGGTCGGCCCGCTTAGCACGCTGTGCTAAGTCATGCTAGGTGTTGCCAGGTCCTGTAACCTTACTGCTGAATTTATTTACAGTCAGACCTGGGAGTCCCACATAATAAGTCTTGGAAAACCATTTCATTAAATGCAGCTACACCATTTTAAATCACTGTAAATGTAAACAAATCATCAGGTGACATACAAAAGATATTCAGGTCTGTGATGAGTTACTGTTGCAAACAAGTCTGCCAATTCTCCTCTGACCTCTGACATCAACAAGGCATTTTCGTCCACACAACTGCCGGTCACTGGATATTTTCTCTTTTTCGGACCATTCTCTGTAAACCCTAGAGAAGGCTGTGCGTGAAATCCCAGCAGTTTCTGAAATACTCAGACCAGCCCGTCTGGCCACATTCAAAGTCACTTAAATCCCCTTTCTTCCCCATTCTGATGGTTTGAACATCCGCAAGTTATCTTGACCACGTCTACATGCCTAAATGCATTGAGTTGCTGCCATGTGATTGGCTGATTGGCTGTTTGTGTTAACAAGCAATTGAACAGGTGTACCTAATAAAGTGGCCAGTGAGTTTATATCTGTTTTATTTAATTCATGAATAAATCTAATATATTTTGTGTTCTGATCTCAGTGTTTTAGAAAGCTAACTGCTAACCTGCTGACATTTCCAAGCATTATCAGTAGTAAATTGTTTCTGTCAGAAACGATTTATTTCATTGACAGCTAATTATGTTGAACACTAGTTAAATTACATTTCTGTACTAATGAATAACTTAAACATGATGAACTTGAGAAGAGAAGGAGAGTATGATGAAGATTACCAGTTAATTATTAAATAACATGTTTAAGTTGTGTGTGCATGAGACAGAAAAGGAAAGAAGAAATTCACCTAAGGAGAAACCTATATGAAGGAGTGAAATAAAGATGGAGAGTCCACGTGGGCAAAAAGTAGAACCATGCTAAAGATACATGCGGAGAATTAAAGTGTGTGTGCGTGTCGTCTTCAGGCCCAGAGGAGAACTGGGTGAAAGGTGAGTTCAATGTTCCACCTCCTCAAGTCTCGATGGGAACCAGATGGTCGACATCCCTTACTGAAGAAAACACACACCTACACACACTTCATACATGCGGGGTTTAGTCACTGTATGTTTAGTCAGTTCAGTCTGAGTTTTAACTGTATTAAGAACCACTGTTTCCTATCAGGCTGTAACTCCATTACCTTTACTTTACAAATTCATTAGAATAATTGAAATACATTTAGGGAAAACCAGACACAGGGCACAAATGTGGACAATAAAAATCAGTTAAAGTCAGTAATAAACTCGTTTAAGTCAATTTATTATTTCCAAGATAGTAGCTGAGACACAACAAACGCCGACCTCTCTTCTCCTCCCTGCCTCCTTTAGGAAGTGTGTCCACCAAAGCATGTTTTTCCCAGCTGAAAACATTCTTGAGAGCGATTTGGAGGCGCAGCATTTTTTCAGCTTCAGTTAGGGGAGAGCAGGGGCAAAAGTACCATTTTTCAGAAAAACCTATTCTAAACAATTTCAGTTTGGGCTGTCAGGTTACTTTTGAAACTGAATATTTAAAATAAAAATGTAATTAAATTTTTTTTTAAAGATTAAGGACAAAAGATGTTTGCAGTTACACATTAAGATCACAGTCATGTTTATTTATCAAATACAAGGGTGGTAACACAAAAAATCTAGCTTGTATTGTTGTGTTACTTTTGAACCACATGTGTGTTACTTTTGTCCCAGAGATATATTTTTGCTGTGGTCACTGACTCACAGGTGTGGTCTATCAATATCAGGTGGTATTTTGTACAAATGTAGAACGACTTCACTGGCGAACTGTCCAGGGTGTACCCCACCTTTCGCCCGATGTCATCTGGGATAAGCTGTTGACGATGGATGGATGGATGTAGAATGACTTCCGTATTATTTCACTTTAAACATAAGTGGCACATGGTTACTTTCGACCCCGTCTGCTGGGACAAAAGTAACATCCGGAGTAAATATCCGGAGAGGTTAAATGATATGTCACAAGTTCCTCATTTTACAGATCGATTGTGTCATCAACAAATGCTGAATGTAAAAATGTAAAAAACAATATATAGTTCTTTCTCTGGCCCTTGTTCTAGATGAAGGGAAAGCTGAAGCACGTAAGGAGAGAGGATGTCCAACGGATCCGTGTGGGTTCATGGGATTTTGTGGACGAGGAAAAATCTCGGGAAGCTGAAGTGGGATAGAGCCTGGTTCAAGGAGAACTTTCATATGAGCAGGACACAGTTTGAAGTGTTGCTCAAGGAGAGACATGAATTTCCAGGAGGCCATCAGCTCAGAGGAAGGTCTCTCATTTGACTGAAGCAGTTTTTTTGTAACTTTTAGTTACAGTTACATAGTTAATGTAACTTATATATCTTGTAATGTATATTCTTTTCTAGGTACAGTATTTGTATTTTACACAAGAAGTAAATACACAGTTTGGCATCATTTGACTTTCCACAGTTAATCCCTTCTTATTCCTTGTTCCGATGTGTTATGATGAGCATTTTGTTATCACAGTATTTCTGATGATATTGAGCTGGATGATAATTCTTCCCAGACCAAAAACTGAAAGTTTATATATATACATAAGCGGTTATAGATAATGGATGGATGGATGATTTTAGCCGGCCACCAGAAATGTTGGCATGATTTGTTAGAGCAAAATTTCTGAAAAATTCAAAGTAAAAAGGAAGCTTTTTGGAACTTGATGTTGTCAAAGTAAACATTTTATTCCCCCAAAATGTAGTGAGTTCTAATCAAACAACACAAATTTAAATCATTTACACATGGATTGAGGCTTGTGTTAAATTGTGTTGATGACTCC